GATCCTAGAAATCCTGCACAGAGGGAAAGTCAATGTGGGCCGCCCTGCCGGCACCTTGCCTGGCTCGAAGCTAGGCCAGAGGGTGGCCTCCTTTGGACGAAGGTGGACCAAGGAGTTGGACCAAGCAGCAAGGTCCTTTCAAAGAAGACCACGACTCAAATCGCGTGCAACAAGGTCGACAAGGTCGACGGCTTCCACACATCGGGGGAAAGAGATGATGAGTGCATCACCGTTCATCCGGCCAATTACAGTTCATAGTATATACATATATGTTCATATGGCTGTTCATATGACATATATTAACAGAACCACTTCAGCATATCAAAAAGAGCTTCTGGCTTCACCGAACCAAGCAGGGCTCACTCGAACCATTCGAACAGAAACGGTTCCGTTGAAGGTCCTTGCAGCCATGGGTGGGGATGCGGCCGGGAAGGGCGGTTCCAGGCGTTTCGCCTTCAAGGCGGAGACCGACTGGAGATCGATGGGTGGCGGGGCGGGTGGATGCATGGCTCCAAGCAGAAAGCCAAGGGGTCAGAAAGCCATGGGCTTGCGCTTATAGGAGTTCATAGGCAATGACCTGCAATAGCAAGGATCAAGGAACATTATATATATATATATTTATAAGTTGAACCCTGTTATATTTTTTCTGCAAGAGAACTGATGAATGTGCATGTCGTGTTATAAATGTACCAGTAATGTACCTTGTGAATCCTTTTGATCTACTGTATATAACAAAAAAAACACTCTTTACTTAGGCACCAGTCTTTGTTCTTTTTGTTAATGTCCCGGTCACCTCTTTCAGATGGTCAACAGTGGTGTTTCGTTTGGGCTCGGTCCGCTTCGTTTCAACCGATCGCTCAGCGAGTATTTGGAGCCTTTCCGGCCTTGGCCTAGCATCCGGGAGTGTTTCACAGCTTTTGAGTGGTTTTGATAGTGGTCACCACTAGCCATCATGATGTGAAGTGGGCCAGAAACCCAAAAGCTTGAAGAGCTGGAGTGTGAGCATGCCATGATGTCGGGAGATCGAGTGAAGAGAGACATCACATGCAGGTCCACCATCGACCACGGATGTTGTTTTTTGTTTTTTCCTTTTCACATCTCTTCACATGTGCTTAGCCTCGAACCTTTGTTTCTTTTGGTGTTGTGGTGCAGTGGTCTATCACCCAGAGGCCTGCTTGCTCATACGGACTCCGGAGCAGCGTGAAAGACCAAACACACATAAGATTGTTACGCTATACTATAATAGCAATGGCCTCCAAGCTATTAGCGATGGCCTCCTAATAGCAATGGCCTCCAACCTAATAGTAATGGCCCATGGCCTTCAACCTAATAGTAATGGCCTCGAACACAAAGAGAAGGGAGAGGCCTGCTGAATGTATATAATACCACCAAGTTGATCGCACGATGCGAGGCGTTGTGCCCCAATGAGCTCATCGCTCGCATGCTGGGCAAGGGTGGCAGCCGAAAGGAGACAAACAAACAGTTGGTGATGTATCATACAATGACTCTCTCACTCTGAATGGTGGTGAAACCATGTGAAACCCAACGAGCAAAAGATGCTGTTTGAGGTGGATCCATGTATTCTGGGAGTCCGGCCATCCTGCCTTTCCTTGTGCAACTTGCTTTCTTTGCCGAGTCCACTTCCCTTCAAAGACCGTAGTTGGCTCGATGGCTTCGCTCACTCCAGTGCAGACCGTTGTGCTTGTGAAGTTGTTGTGAAGCTGTTGGAATCGCTATGTTTCTATACCATGTTTCCCCAAACAGTGTGGACACACTAGGGGTTCTTACGGTATAATGGTCTAATCGAGGTGTTGCGCGGGCGTGTCCGGCTAGTTCGCTGCTATTTACAGTACATTCATGCCTCTCGAAATCCTCGAAGTGCATTTGGACTGCGCAGGCTCGCAGAATCTGGTGGGCTGGTGCGGGTGCTTGTCGCGACTGCGCTCTCGTTGTGGTGCCGTGCGCATTTGCGGACATGGTGGTCACTTTTCGTGGCAATCGCAAGGGAAACCTCGTGGTCCACAGTCCACAGTCGACTTTTCGTGACAGGTGCAAGGGATCGGAGCGGCTTTACTTGGAAATGCAGATTTCGTGGCCGGCGCAGCACTTTGGACATGGTGGTGATCTTCGAGGCGCTCTGATTTCGTGACAGGTACAGTGAATCGTGACTTCTTAACATGTGGCTCGTTTGCAGATTTCGTAGCAGGCACAGCACTTTGTAAACCTCGAAGTGCAGATTTCGCGGCAGGCACAGCACTTTGTGAACCTCGAAGTGCAGATTTCGCGGCAGGTACAGCACTTTGTGAACCTCGAAGTGCAGATTTCGTGGCAGGCCTAGCACTTTGTGAACCTCGAAGTGCAGACTTTGTGGCAGGTACAATACTTGGCGGATTTCGTGGTAGGAGCGGCACTTTGTGGGCCTTGAAGCCTTGAAGTGCAGATTTCGTGGCGGGTACAGCACTTTGTGAACCTCGAAGTGCAGATTTCGTGGCAGGTGCAGCACTTTGTGAACCTTGAAGTGCAGATTTCGTGGCAAGCGCAGCACTCAACCTCGAAGTGCAGATTTCGTGGCAGGCGAAGCACTTTGTGCTCACTCACTCACTCACTCACTCACGCACACTCACTCACGCACACTCACACTCACACTCACACGCACACGCACACGCACACTCACACTCACACTCACACTCACTCACACTCACTCACACTCTCACACTCTCACACTCTCACTCTCTCACACTCTCACACTCTCACTCTCTCACACTCTCACACTCTCACTCTCTCACGCTCTCACACTCTCACTCTCTCACTCTCCCACCCTCACTCTCACTCCCACTCTCACTCCCACCCACACTCACAGTCACACTCACTCACCCACCACCACCGCCACCATCACCACGATCCCCACCTTCATCACCACCATCACCTTTCTGGACCCCAATGCGTCTAGATCTCTAGACTTTCTTCTGCTACACCTCTAGACCTCACACACACTGTTTGGGGTCTCTTGCCTGGATGATTTTGGATGAAAAAGCTGTGTAGGTTGCAGTGGCCCTGCAGGTCGGTCTTTTGCCACGAGGCATATGTTTGGCATGTGGACGCAGGACCAATTGCAGGACGAAACGGGCTGCAGAATCATCATCAGCGGTCGAGATGAGTATTTCCCAGGCCCTGGATGGCGTTTCTTTGTGGGCGTGGGGCGGGAATGCACTGCAAGTCGACCGTGACCGTGATGGCCAATCGTGCATTTTTGGGCTCACGGCATGTCATTCCAACAATATGAATCATGGTGCCTGGAACGCCTACCAAAGTCCATATATAGTCGTTTTAGTTTTCTTTGATGGAAACCTATGCGCTAGTATGTTTGTCGCTCAATTCCATCCAATCATTGGGCTGTCACCCGTCATGAAACAGGAGGTGTTGTTTTCCCAAAGATGCCCATCCTCACTCACCAGCTGGTCTCCCATGTCACTCAGCCGGCCACATCACATCCTTCTCCCATTCGGTTCCATCAAACACATTGAAAAACATTGTCACATGAGCCATTGACATGTTCAAAGAGACTTTGAATCATTTCCATCCATTTGGGGTTGAGTCACTATTTTTGGAGTACGCCTTTTGAGACACCAGGTTGAGGGATCTTCTGACGCCGACCTTTTTGGCCGATCTAAAAGGCACCTTTCAGTTTGATCTTCAATTTGGCCTAGGCTCAAGAGATAAGAGATGGGAAACAGGTGACCAACTCGGTGTTAAAGGTGCCTGAAGGGTCCAAATACCCCAGTGGGCACTCCCTGAAACAATCATGGAGGTGGACACATGTGGACGCCAGTTGTTTGTATAGACGAAAAGTTGTCATCCTGGTGGGGGTGGTAAGATTGCTAGTCAGACCTGGTACAGGGGTCCGATGAACCGCACTTGCTTGGCCCACGTGATTCCTGGCGGAGAGGTACTCGCTTTCGCGTGCTGGTCATCCTGGGCGACAATGCTGAAGCCATGCTTGGGGTGCTGGATCATCTCATTGCCGACGCGCGGCCAACAAAAAATAACACCAACAGAACTGGGAGGCAAACCTTTTGGATCTTGAGCCTTTCACCCAGCCATTAAGCTTGTTGTGGTTGTTAGATCTATTTTGTTGTTTCAAGCGTTGGAGCTTAGAGCAATCCTTTAAACAACAACGATGCCCAGATCCGTGTTCACCTTAAGATGCTGAAATCTCGACAAAGTTCAGACTTGTAAGAATTTGGATCACTTAGGGTATTTGTCAAGAACGAAATTGCTGTTTGTTTTTCCACTATGCCGACAGAAGTTGGAGAATCCACCAGATAATGTTTTGTTGCACTAGTATCCTGCCATCATGCGCTTCCGTAGCATTTGACCCCTATCGTTGGTTCCTCCAAACCTTATCTCCAAGCTTTTTGAAAGCATCCCTGCCTGGATAGTCCGTTGTTGGGGTTGATTGGTTGACCAAGAAAATCAACAGGTGCACTTTAAACTTGATTTGTTCTCCGTGGCTTCTCCAGTGAAACTCCGGTTTTCAACCAGGACCTCAAGGCGAGTGAGAGGCTTTCGAGATAGGGTCTTTGGCCTCCCGGTCTTGGCGTCCAGGACATCATCGAGTTTGGTAAGAAGGAGAAGCTGAACCCAGGCCATAGAGTGTGCTGAGACGTGGTTTTGGTCGCGTCCAAATATTCTTTGGTCGGTTCCCTGAATTGTTTGATGTATACTATCCACTAGTGATTTGGGACTTGTGAAGTGACTGTGCAAATTTCAAAGTTCCATCTCATGTGTTTCCAAGTGTGTCCACAACTCCCATCTCATCATGCATCTACCATCAAAATCAAGACACCAGAGGGTAGCTGAGCCTATCTCTTTGAAATGATGTATTCCAAAGGGGAACACTGGTGAGAGGGGAATTGGGGGCACTCCGCACAGGCACCGAGGCCGAGTTTCTGGGTCCGGACCCCAACACCTATGTGCTTCGCTGCGTGGTCACCAAGCAGATGTCCTCCGCGATCATCGGCCCGAAGGGAAACAACGCCCGCGCGATCCGGGAGGAATCCGCCTGCAAGGTGCGAGGTTTCCGAACCGCCGAAGCGGGCGCCGGGAGAAGCATCGTTGTAGCATCACTGTGTTGGGCACACCTTCGTGGCGCTTTTTGCTTGAGTCAGGCTATAAGGCTTTGAGTCAGGCGTGTGGGAACCACCCCAAAGATTCCGGAAGACCACCCAGCGCCCATGTGCCACATGGATGCGGCCGCCAGCACTTGGTCCAACAGCCCCCCAACAGTCAAACGTGAGAATCCCCGAAGTGTGGAAGCCATCGGATTCACAGCTGCGTGGTGAAGTTTGTTGGTGAAAGGTGAAAGGTAAGCGTAAGCCCATCCATGGCATAAGGCAGCGAGACTTGTTCATGCTGTTGTTTTTTTTCATATATAAGCCGAGCAACTGACATCTCCATCCGGTCCTAACTTCTTCTCAAAAACATTCAATAATGCCCAAAGTACCAGTCTGGAAGACGGTTTTCCTGTACAAATGAGCCAATGCTAAATCATGCCAAATCTGGAAGAAATAACTGCACAGACTTCCCAGCGACCTCACACGTGACAGGTGGTGATTGATTCGAACGTCACCTCAGGGCATCAGCAGGTGAAGCTGATTGGAGAGCCCCGAGGTGGAGAATGGCAGAGCCCCGAGGGGCTCGTGGAATCGAGCTAAGACCGTTGTGACCGTTCCGAGTCTCACGACCTCGCCCCACCCCGTGGTTGCGGGCGCCCCTTGGAACCCACGGTCGCGACGTCCGAAGAGGGTCCATCATTCTTCCTTGAGTGTGGACAGGTTAGGAAAGATAGGACGCCATGGAGAAGCTTTCGCGATTCATTTTAGGGTCTCAATGACCCAGGAAAAGTGGTCACCAGCGCAACCTTTTTGGGGAAGTGGTTTCTTTTTCCAGGGAAATTGAGGGAGTCAGCCGTCAGCCGTCAGCATTGATTCGCCCCATGGTCGGACGGCCTCAAATGCGGCGCAGGTTTGCATTTGGCCTTGCAGATGGTGAACCGCCACATTCAAGATCAGTTCGGCACCCCCGGCTACACCGACTGGTCCACCATCAAGAGCTTTGACCGCTCAGGAAATCCCATCCACTGCTCTCCAGGCCGCGTGCTGTATTGGAGTGTCAGACCACCGGTGTTCAACCACATCCTGGTTGAGCGTTATATTTGAATCCTTTGACTACGATCGGCATTTGGAACATGGTGACAAGTAGCACGCATGTGACCAGCAGAATGCTTCGCGTTTGCCGGGTTTCAGCTGCCGGGTGATCCAATGACGTCACGTTTTCACTGTCCCCACGGGTCGAAACGGGTCGACAAAGAGATCGTCAATCCCCCAATAAAGAACCCCCGGCTCGGTCACAAAAGTGGGATCCCACATGCTCCCACTCCTTGCATTTATAGCGATAGCCCTCCACCCGAGCGTAGCGACCGTAGTAGCGATGGCCTCCACCCGAGCAGCGGTGGCGACCCGCCGACCAGGCGAGTTGAACTTCGGCCGGGCCGATGTGCGCCATGACGCCCGCGGCTACGACGCCCACGAGGAACGGGAGCGGGAGCGGACGCCGAGGGGACCGGCAGCACCAGCACCAGGCGGGGCGGGAGGGGCAGGACGCTGGGAAGCTCCAGGCACAGGAAATGGCGTTTCAAGGGGCTTGACAAGGCTTTACCATAGACATCCATAGACTATCATATAGAATCATATAGATACTCAATGATACTGATACGATTTGATACTAATGTAATTATATATTATTATATACTATACCAAGTACTATATTATACTCTTGATTCCTCAGTATTAATGTATTAATGCCTCTCCATTTAGGGGGATGATATAATGAAAGAATATGTACAAAAATATCGGTCATACAGCCTGTTGGGTCTCGAAGTGTTCACTCATGAATCACCGAAAGTATGCAGAGTTTGTGCAACAAATTCCGAGAAAGTGGCTCGGTAAGCTCAGGCTGTGTCGTGGTTGGTGAAACACTCCGTGGACATGGACAGCATGTAGTGGGGGAGAGCAGCTTCCAATTCCATGGGAGGACTGGAGGACGAACGTCCACCACTCTTCGAAGGGTATGGACAAGAGAAAGTGCACATGTTGAATACAAAACGTTCTTCACACCAAGAGTCATAAATGCAGTCATACAATAGTCTGAACATTCTTGCAGAATAGAGTTCGAGGATAGGTGGCTCCTTGATGTTCTGAGAAGAGGTCCTGAAACAAATGCGTCCCTTGCAACTGACGGATCTTAATGCCTAAAGAAGTTACTTTGGTCGACCAAACTGTATATCCACTACAGCTTCATTGGTCTCAATACTCCCCAAGAGGATCCAAGAGGCATATCTTGATCTTTATAGTCAAAGCCAACAAAAACTCACGTTTTCGGAGAAGGGTTTTGACCTCTTCCAATTTCCATCAGTGTGACCAGTGACACCGCGTGAAAATGTCCTACTGTTGCCTTTTGCAAGGTTTTTTTGGCTAAATAACACCCTCTTGGCATGCCTATAGCAGGGTGCCTAGTCGTGGTGGTGGTTGCGGGCCTTTTCGGGATTCGGTGACGCCATCAGGTCCCCGCGGGCGTGTGGCCATCCCTCCCCCTTCTTCGCTGAGCCTCGGTAGCCGTGTGGCCACCATGGAATTGGGTGCACAGACTTGGGCGCGCCGAACATCATGTGTTGGGAATCCGCAACTGGTCCAGTGGAGTCCCAATTTTGGAGATCATCTCGGATCCAGTTTGGAGATGTCCCTCGTTTTGGGGGCGTTGTATTCCTCAACTCCTGACACCTTTTTTTTGAGCTATCGGATTTCTGTGAAGAGAGGAGGGTATACTGCCTAGCCTAGCAGCCTAGCAACGTGCGGAAACCTCAATTGTATGAAGACCTGACCCAGTGCCACCCTGCCTAGCCGCTAGGCCTAGCCTTGGAAGCGACATGTCCAGCGTCGTGAGATGTCGTGAGCGCGTCGTCGGGGAAATCCTCAGTTCGTCGGTGCCGGGCCGCCTCGAGAAAAATGCGGACAGTTCGTTCGGAACGTGCCAAGTGTCAAGAGCAACTCAAAACTAGAAGTGGAAGCTGCCTGAAAGTTGCAGCTTGCGATGTTCGACTTCAGTTGCAGCCAATGGCCATGTCTAGTGCGCCTTTCAGCTTGCGTCTTCCGTCTTTGGTCTGAGATTTGAGAACGTTTGTGCCTCCCAGGTCCATTCCCCCAACCTGTCGTGGCCCGACCCTATTTTCCTCAGCTGAGCGCATGTTTTTTTCACTTATGAATTTGAATTTGCCTTAGTTTGCTTCTTTTCTCTGTCTTGGTCGAAAAGAAACACCAAAGCTCTTTCAACACCAGACTTCCACAGAGCTTGAGTCCATCCAAATAATTCGCTTCGACTCTGAGCTTCAAGTTGAGGACGACGGTCACGGCGCCTGATCGGGGCGAAGTCGACTCCTCCCTTTTGACCGCGCTCGTGGACACTGCTCGCACCTTTCCCGCAGGCAGGTCCGCGAGGAAGCGCGTGAAGCAACGCGCGCGACATCAAAAGCGGGACCCCACAGCCGGCGAGGGGAATGAAAGGCAATTAATTGCTTTTGATGGATGAAAGGAATCACTTCCAATGCAGTAGTAGTTCTATGATGTTCTATGAAGGACATACTCCCGGTGTATTGAAACGGTTTTTGGGTGGGTCAGTTCGGAAACACGTGTCCAAGCACAATCCAACTGTGTGGTGTTGTTCCTGCGCGAGGTGGGAATTGTGAGGAGCGTGCCGCAATCGGCAAGGAGAGGTGATTGGTTTGACCTCGCCCTGATGACATCAACACATAATACAGTATATATATTTGTTCATTATCCCAAGACCTTTGGTTCAACAGATGTATCTCACGAGTTGGGCGTTCCAATCTTTTTGCGATCGACCTTCCAGTGTTTGAGCGGAAGAAGCCCATTAGATGTGTCCGTTCTCTTCAACTGAACCCTTCTCGGGGATGAGCCCCTTCTTGGGATCACAACTCCACCCAATCTCGGTCTAGTTTTTAGAGTTGAAGACACAGAGATGGGCCTCCACTGAAAATGGCCAAACACAAATGCTGTATGACATCAAACTTTGCCATAGAGTGCCTTGATATTGAATAGATCTTCTTTTTGGAATCACTTTCTGCTTCCAGACATTGCTTTGAAGTCCTCGAATGGCAAGGTAAAGAAAGCAACAGCACCAGGTGCCTTAGAGGCGGAGTATACCATCACCTGCGAGTTGCCCAGTGACAAGGTGGGCCTGTTGATCGGGAAGCGAGACTTGGAGAAACGTGATTGCACCGGGGCAGGCTTGCAGCATCTTGCAGCCCAAATGGTGGCGGTTGAAGTCTTTCTCTCTCTCTCTCTCTCCCGGCTTAATCTCAGCAGTTTCTGTTTGTAGTTCCGGGAATGGGTGAGGGAAAAAGTCCTTAAAACAATCCTTAGGCAGGAAAGCAGCCTGTGGAATCGTTTTGAACAGTTCCCAGCAGATACACGCATCCACAGGGTTGCAACTACCTCACAAGACTGACAGAGACGACCGTGATGCATTGTTGCAGAAACTCCCACCCGAGCAGCCTGTCCTCGTCGGAAGTCTTCCGGCATGTCGGATGCCTCGACATCTACGCAAAAAGACCAGCAGAATATGGAACAATAGAATTCCCTCGGTTGTGAGCTGTGACATTCTTGGTCGTAACCATATCTTGTGCGCGACTGTTCTTCCGGTCATTTGCGTTTCTTGTCTCCAGTAGTGTTTTTTTGTTGCTTTTTGCTTCTACATTTTTGTCTTGCTTTTGTGTGTACTTTTGCTTTTGCTGTTACTTCTGCTGTTGCTTCTGTTTTTGCTCTCTTGCTTTGCCTTTGTGTTTGTTCTTGCTATTTTGTTTGTTGCTTGTCCAGCTTATGTTTTGCTTTTTCTGTTGGTCTCCTTTTGATGGCTTCTGGTAGAAAGAACATTTATGTTTAGTTTTGTTATTTTTCTGGTGGGTATAGTGTGAGCCCCCCCAGGGTTTGCGGAGGAAGGGGCCATTCAAATGTAGAATACCTTTTGTAAGCCACCCTCTCCCCTCCTCCTCTTTGCTCCTTCTCGCTCTCGTCCTCTCCCTGTCCCTTCCTTTCACTCCCTCTTGTTCCTTTCTCCTTATCTTTTTGCTGCCCCTTCTGCTTCTAAAACATTCCCGGAAAAAGGATCCTACAAATGGCGGGAAAGCAACTTAAGACAAAAAACTGTTCACCCTGTTTGGTCCAATCTTGATCAAGCTGGGAGATTGGACACGTCTTTTTGTTGACTCCCTGATCGCAACTTGGTTGATATTGCGGCCATCTCATCGTCGCTCCCAACCGTAGTATCGACATGCAAACGCCCGCCTGGCCTTTCGGAACGGCACGAAGTACTCAAGTACCTGAAGGTGACAATTATAGAATTCCAAACTCCAAACTACCCGGTTCTGTTTTGTTTTGACAAGGTGTACAAGTGGGAAGGCCAAAACACGCCCGGCGTGTTTGATCCTCTTTTTATGCACTGGTTTTCAACCCTTGAAATGGCATGCGTTCCTTAAATTTACGCTATTTTTTTCGCTGAAGAAATGCCTTTAGCAAGGCCATCGAAACATCATCAAAGATCTAATTGGGTCCTATAGGTATGTATTATATTATTAATCCCCCTGCGGACGACCTTTGTAAATCAGGGGCTCAGGTACCCCAAAATACTACCATGTTCAAAAAAACACAGCTGCCTAAAAACTGTCGCCCAACCAACAACTTTTGTATTTGATAGTTTGTAGCATTTTGTAGCGTTTTTAGCCACCCTCGCTTTTAGAGAAAAAACAGTGTATCCAAACATAGTTATAGATATCCACATGTTTGACCATTTTTGGCTAGTTTTTTTTGTTTTAGAGATTGTATATTTCATGCCTTAAACCATTATTCCGCGGACCTTTCACGAGGTGTCAGGCATGCAGCCACTTGTGGGGCAGGAAGGAACCCACCAAGGATTCGTTTTTGGGGGGAGGGCTTATCGGGTGGGCTACATCAGGGTCCCAGACGCAGTCTCATTGGCCACAGCCCGGACTGGTTGACAACATTCTGCCAAGACTTGATTAACCTATCACCTAAATTTGTGAAATACATAACCAACATTTAGAATATGCACAAACTAAACATGTGTTGATACACTCTTAAAAACGACTAGTCTTGGATGTTTCGATCATATATATTTTACACTATACATGTTCCATGGCAACACGCATTATGTTCCGTAAGATTTGACAATAGGTGTGCACAATTGGTATGTTCCGGGAAAGCTATGACGCACTCACCAAGCAAGGATAGCACCATAGAAGGGTGTGTTTCTCCAGCAGCAGGATGTTATTTTATTCTTTCCAAGTGTTGCCTGGCCATTCTTTATACTTTATCCCATGTAAGCCCAAGAGTTTGCCCAAGAGCCACCATTTGGCGTTTGCTGCATACATGGCATGGCACATACATGCACGGTTCGCACAGTTGAAGGCGGCATTGTTGACTCCATAGGATGCTCTGACAAAGACAACTGCGTTTGAACTATAACCTATGTAACGATAACCCATAACCAAACAATAGTAACCAGAAAGTACATGAACGTGCGCCGGGAAGACGCTCCCCCAGACATGCCTTCCGACATGGCTTCAAAGCAAGCTCAAGACATGCTGGTCTAAACATCTAGTTGAAACCATGATTTAATTTACGAGGTTTTATGGTTGCTGAGGGTGTGCACTCGATTCCAGAAAGAGTTACTGTAGTGCCATTTTTCACACAATATAGATTTGCTGGAGCATATTTGTTTGATGTTGCGAGCTCGATTCTACAATGAATACGTGTTATCTTGTGAGATTGATTTTATAGATGTTTTTCAACTTAACCTCAGGTACCCCAGATTCAGGCTTATAAAATTTTGTTTGCGCTGACCCAGTCACTGAGACTGCACACTCCCCGAAACAATCATGGAAGTGGACAATTGCCCCTGTGATGACCATTTTCCTCTACAAACGGGTGGTTTTCCACTTCCATTGTTATTTTTCGGAGAGAACATATGTAGGCATTTCATTTGCATTACGGTAAGAAACCTACATGCATAATCATTTGTTTTATTTGTAATTTGTATGTGTATATATATATATATACACGTGCGTGTGTGCATTATGAGATTAAGATGCCCTCCCATCCCGCACCCAACGACCTTTTCCATTGATTCTGGGTAAAGACGATCCTACAGGTAAATCTAGTTTGTGCTGCCAACCGGTAAAAGGACCTGATGTCTCTTTACAAATCGACTGTAATTTCTTCTCATCACAGTAACATACCTTTGCCACAGGCTCAGCTCCAGGAGAAGAACCTCACGATTCAGAAGGTGTTTGGACCCTCCAAAGCTATCCAAAAGATTCCAAAAGGTCTCTCCCAAAGGTGGTTTATGTGGACCCCCATCCAAAAAGACCTCTTGGGGTGCCAGTGCCATACTCTGAAACCACTGTACTTGGAGCTCCTGGGAACTTTCGCTCGATCGGCTGGATTGACTCGTCTACCAAATCTCAGGAGGTGAAGACGTGCAACGGATCCGTCCCTTGGAGTGACCACCGGCCCTATGCTGCCGCAACGCCTTGGTTGTTCCTTAGTTTTCACTCTTACTCTATATATGATTTGCATTTGTTGCACCACAATCGTCTCTCAAGAGCAACTGTTCTGTTTTTTTCTTGGGGGGTGTGCTCTTGGTTTCAGACAAAGAGATGACTGCAATGAACATATGTGAACCCAGATGTTTTGGTTGGACGTAAGAGAAAAGCGCGCCACTACCTACTTCCCCCTCCAGACACATGGTTACAAATCCACAACCTCCCCAGGATACTGTACGTGATTCAGACCTCTATATAGGCAATTGGCCACAACGAGCTTGAACTGGCACTCTTCAGATGCTGCGAGCCGACTTTCCAGCAAGTGCCGCGTTTTCTTGTGAACAAGGCAAAGCGACGGGCACCTACGTGCACTTCGACCCGGTACAAGATGGAGCTGATGGGCAGACGTTAACCATTCGAGGGCCCATGTTGAAGGTCTATCGCGCTCACGCGCTGCTGATGCGAAGATATCATGAGACCACGGCGGATGTGGTCCAGGACTCCCGGAGTTGGGAGTTGGAGCGAGAAGCCGGAACCCGCATGGCGCTGAGAGAAGAAGATGGACGTCTAATGCGAATCGAGTTCAGGATTCTTCATCCTGGTCTTCATGGGTTTGTTTTGGAATCTTCCTTTCAGTGGAAGGTGAAAATGCCCAAGATCGCCACACACTCCACACCCCAGCCCCACACCCCTACGACCATGCCAGGTGGAGCCTTTTGCTTGGTTTCCCAGCTCTTCGCTACATATATCACGAGCAACTTCTCCAATGAGACGTTTGTTTTCAATGACACACCCTCCCTGATTGAAGGACACGAGCCCCGCTGTGGTCCCAGACCGGAAGGAGGAGCAACGTGTGCAGGAGCGGCGTGCTTTCTCGTAGAGCGAAGCGTGGTTCCGAGAAAGATGGAGAAAGCACCCAGAAAGTTGAAAGGCTCTGGGACGTACCTGCAACCATCCTCACATGCCCCAACATGAGAAAGTACATGAGAAATATTATATGACATCATAGCAACCCTCCAGTTTCCAAAGATGCAGCACGACTTGGTATTAAAGCTGAACCCTATTTTGGCATTTGGCATCACTCAATCTCATTCAGAATGATTCTGCCCTTTTTTTCCAATGTGTCTTTGATTCCCTCCCAGCGCTCTATCTCTGGGCATCTTTCGATCGCCCCGAAGAAAAACAAAAGTAGACACAAAAGAACAACACATCCAGGAGCAATTCCTGGGCGCCTAGATTGCTTGAAAGTCGTTACGTGACTGGATTGCTTGAACCAGCACTTCCAAGTCCAATCCAGGAACATCCAAACGGTTCAGGACTTGGAAGCACAGCTCCAGCAGCTTCAACGTCAGATGGAGGAGGTGAAGCAGATGCGATCCTCGCGCCTGGGTGAAGCTTTTGAGGGAGCACGGTAGTGACAGGTACCGGTACGGTACGGACTGGCCGGTGTGATGTAAGCAGGAAACCTGGGAAGAAAGAAGAGTGAAGCGAGTGAAGTTGGCGGAACCGTTAAGGTTTTGGAGTTGATTTTGGACCCAGAAGAGGTAGTTCATGGACCGACACGTCTTAAAGCCTTCAACTCTCAGGGACTGTGAATTGGTAGAGCCGGGAGAGCACCAGAAGGTTGAAGCCTCAGGCTCACGGAGGCACTAGGTCTTTGCCCCAGTCTTCACAGATTTCTTCGTCCTCGGAACGGAAGTTTGATTGTTCCGGATCTCCCTGAGCTCCACCCCCATCACGGCAGATTTGCTGTCCTGACGGATCAAACGTAACCAGTGCCTGATGTATATGCAGGCCATTTTCCGCTGCACAATGCCAGAGACATCGTTTTGTGGACAGCTTTGACCTTGGGACTCCGAGGGTGGGCCCTTTGCGTCCCCATTCGGTTCGGCTTCGTTCCAAGGACTGGGCCTCCCACCATGGCACCTAGGGCCAAAGGCCCTGGGAAGGGCCGCAAGGGCCGCTAGCCGGTTGGAGCAGCGTTCGCAGCGTGAGTGTTTAGTCTGGGTTTGTCTTTGAGCAGATGAGTCTGATAGTCTTGGAACATCTGAGAGTGCACGAGGATTGGGGAAACAAGTGTAGCAGTGTATCACCTCCTCGTGCTTTGTTCGGGTCCCATGGTTTTGCCAGATCCTTCACCTGATCTCGCAGGGCCTTCTGCTCGGAGAAACATATTTGAAGACCATAAAACATCGGCCAGGCGATGCCTTTGTGTCCAAGGCTTTAGGTGTGTCCAAGGGGCGGCCCTCCAAGCTGAGGTGAGCTAGAGTCATATTTTTGGGCCCAAGAGGGAGCGACCCAAGCTGCATTTTGTGGCCATAGATGGGATCTTCCTACAGGAGTCCCTTTAGCTCATGGGATTTGACGACATGACTGACATTCACCAAAAAGTGCCCAGCTCAAGTGTTCGAGATTGATTGCCAGGTTGGGCATGCAACCGATTTGCACACAGACTGTAATATCTTTAAGTCGCATTAAGCGCTTCCCCCAAGAAGCACTCCCAAGATCAGGGGACTTCAGGAGGGGATCCTTTGCGCTCTTTGTATTGCTTCAAAAAGCCCGGGCCCCACCCACCCCACAGCCCTGCTGCGGATCAGATGTATAGATATATACAATGATATACATTTTCGCGGATGCACCAGATCAGCCGAATTGGCTAAGGCGTTGCATATAACGGTGCCCCGGCGGTCCGGTTCCGCCTGGGCGTAGCGACTCGCGCGAGGTGTTCCGCTCGCGCGAGAGCCGGCGTTCCGCGCGGAGAGCCGGGCGAGCGACTCGCGCTTCTCCTCGACGTGGAGAAAAAGGATGTCAGAGCCGTGCGGCTGAAGGAGTTGATCCGTGGGATCTCCTCCGAGGTGACGGCCATCCACAGGTGCACGACTGGATGCACCACCCCTAGCTCGAGCTCGAGCTCCCAGACCATTCAGATCACGGGTATCCCTGGTAGGGCTCTCCATTTGCTGAATGCCGGGGACGGATGTGGATGGCTCCTACCCCGAAATTCCACGAATTGATCTTTCATGATCATTCATAGTACTGTATAATACTGTATACATTAATTATATCAATTATAACATATAAACATTGCCAGTAACATTGTCCTCCACCCAGAAGAAGTCGGTTTAACCTGCCTAACCTCTTCGGGGAGTTGGTTTCTCCACCAGGGAAAGTGGCGGAGTCACTTAAAATGACACTCATACTATCTCATAGTCTCATACTAAAGTTTATTGTGTGTTACAGAATGCCCATTGCCTCCCTTCACAAGTGCAACTTGAATCGTCACAGTGTTGTGACTAAACGCGGCCTCCGATTGCATCAAATTGCTCTATGGGAATTCTCAAGTGGACCGATTAATATATAGAATGTTCAACCGAGATTAAAGAAAAACTATATCATATATAATATATATATATATTATCATATCAGATTTTTTGGGGCATGGCAAGAGCTAGGCAGACAAGGGGAAGGACTTACGGTCATTTCCTGGTTGCCCGTTCCATATTCATCTTCATATATCTTCATTATATTCCTTTTTTGGATCATCGGTCGCTGGGCTTCGAGCCACATCGCCTTGGGCCCGACTCCGCTAGGTGTTTCCTCCTATTCTGGATCGGAGGCTGGGCTTCGACCCCGCTTCGAGGGGTCTCGGCATGCCGAAGCGGGCGAGCTTCAAGGGCGAAGAAGTAGCACGCGCATGCGAACTTCTTCAGACCTAGGAAGCACCGTATTTGGCCACTTGGTTCGTGGTTTCCGAGAAGGTCTCACCTTTCCATCCAAAAATAGAGCCATCGAACGAAATCGAGAGATTTGGGGCAATTGGTGGCCTGGCTGAGCTCAGGCCATGCTCCACATGCAGCATTTGCAGTTGGAGGTCTCCCAACTCCGACAGCCCGGGGCCTCGATGGGCCGACCGTCCGGGTTGGCGTCAGGTGAGGAGGCAGAGTTCAACGCCTGCGCGTCCAACCGTTGGTGGCCGTTTGGGTTACGGCGGTGGGCCCGGGAAGAGGCAGTTGGTTGCTCGAGGTGTGTCTATTTATGAGTCTTCAACCATGTTTACGTGAGTGCCAACATGTGCCAATGTAATAAAATGTGTTTTGTTTGCAGCTGCCTGTTGCCGCAGTTACTTGCAAAGCAGTTCGAGAGTTGATAGATGCAAAGCAGCATCACCGCACGGTTCGTCGATTTCTGAAGCAACACCGGTGGATGATGAAAGCCGTGTTGGACCTAAGTCCACTGCCATGCGCAGGATGTGCAGGTGAGGTGATCATGTGACCATCATCACTTATATATCACCAATGGTCGCTTTCAAGTCTGTCAGTATCAATAATTGCACCTTTTGGATCCTTTTGGTTCAAGCTTCAAATACATATATATATATATACAATTGTATGCAGGCTGTTTGTTTGTGTTTTTCTTTGGAAAGCTCTCGCACCACGGTCACGAGGTCACAAGGCGGGTGAGATCAAATTGATTGTTGTTGCAAATGTGTCAACCTAGGGCCCTGAGCGCCCACCAACCAGTCGCTTAATAAGTCGCCATTGTACAAGGCCGTTGCACCAGGTCCAGGGGGACCCACCCTTCCCCTTGATTCGACCTCTGAAAGAAGGACATGAAATAGACCTCAAAGAAGCTGGCCATTGGGCGTTCGGCAGGGGGCCCCCGGACATCCTGGAGTATCCATTCAGCCCATTCTTCTTTGTTTTGGGATGATGGGGCACCAACTCATGCCCCACCAGAGTAGCTTGACTCCGGCTCCTAATGGTCATCCAAGTTGCCCCTCACACCCAGGAGGTGTCACCAAGACCCCGCAGAGTGCACCTCGCTTTCACACGGAGCCTGGTTGACCTCTTTAGTCGTCGATTCGGTGCAATCTTTGCTCAACCAGCCAGCCATGTTTGACTTTTGAAGCTTCGTTTCGCCCTGTTTCGCACCGCGTCCGAACGCACCTCGTTTGGTCGAAGGAGGTGTCACGTCTTTGAGACTCGGTGTCAAGCCCTTCAGCCCCTCGGCACGGTGGGTCTTTGAGACTCGGAGGGGTTCCGACGTCCGGAGGGTCCGGTGTTTGTTCGGGCGAATGGATCTTGGGAGGACGCTCCTATTGGATGTCGTCCTATTGAGACACACAGTGTCCTACCAGTGCGAAGGACCGGTTTTGGCTGGCTTTCTTTGGGATGAAGTCATGCCAACAGACAAGATATGACAAGACAACCTATGGAGGCTTTGGATGGATGGGATTTCTGGCAGCCTGTTCATCACGTGGAGAGTTTGTTACTATATTTATATATATATATATTTGTTACTATTCTACATGGAGTGCTGGGGTACTGTTACAGGCCAGGTGTTTTTTGACCTAGCTTCTACCAAGCTGTCGGCCTAAAGTGTCCCAGCATCCGAAAGCAGATAAGTGGTACTGTTGCCACCCTCCACTGTTGGAGACAGACCTAGTACACTGTATACTCCAGAAGTAGATGGCCTCCGAGTGTTCTTCCTCCGCACCATCGGTACTTGAGGCGCTCCTATTGGCAAGCCCAACAGCTGGCAGAAGAGGCTCAAGCGCAGGCTCATGCCGGCGGACGCTTAAGGAGACCACCTTTGGCCACCATTTTCAGTGGCGACGTAACTGGAGTGTGATCTGGAGGTTCGATCTGGAGATTTTTTCGTGATCAAGAACAGGTAGGTTCGATGCTAGGAATCGCTTGGACGGTTGGATCATACCACCAATCTCATGAAGAATCACCCCCGAGAGAGAGGGCGACACAACGAAGCCTTGAGACTTTGGTGTTTCTTCGGGCATTTGGAACTGCAGTCTTTTGGAGATCTTGTGGCAAACGGTGCACAGACTGGATGGACGAACGAAGAGCAAAATGCAGGCTGTGCTGGAGTGGTTGAGCGGAGACTGCCTGACACCCGAATGCCCCACATGATCTTCCACATGATGCTGAGATACATACACACACATATATATATATATTTTA